CTGCTTGGCCTGCTGTGTTCATCCAGCTCTACACCTTGTTATCTCAGATTCTCCAGCAGCTGCAGTTCCTACTATCTCTGATTTAAAGAACATGGTTCGTGTTTTGAGCCCCTGGTAAAATAAGGCCTCACAGAAACTTAGAGACCTGGAAAACATGAGCAGGAGGAGGCCATTCAGTCCATCAGGCATGCTCCACTATTCAACATGATTATGGCTGATCCTCTACCTCAATGCCACAATCCCACTCTCTCTCATACCCTGGAACACCTTTAGCTTTCAGAACTCTATCTATTTATTTCTTAAATATATTCAGTGACTTGACATCAAGATGGTGGTGGAGTAGGGCTCCTGAGGGGGGCTTGTCCACTCCTACTGCTTTCCTTTTCTTTCTTTTATTTCTCTTTCTCTTTTCTTGTTTCTTCTTCCCTTTTCCTTTAATTACCCCTTGTCCTGAGCTCGGATGGCATTGGCAGCGGGGGTGAGGGATCCCAGTGTGGACCTCGTGGCAGTGGTGAGTGAGCCCAATGTAGAGTGAGCCCCTGCTTACTCTACCGGGGCCAGCACAGTTTCTACATTGGCGGAGGCAATGGCAGAGGTGGGCCCAGTGACGAAAGATGGTGCCTGTAGAATGGGTGACGGCAACATTGTTTTGGTCTGGTGGTGGTGGAGGAGGGACAGTGGTGCAGGCATCATTGATGATGGGCTACTTCAGGACTGATGGGCTCTCTTTAAGCTATATCTTTCTACGTTTGTCTTATTCTTAAGCTGTTCAAAATGGCATCAGATTGTGAAGGCAGTGGGAAAGCTTTTCACTGTATTTTACTGTTTTTCTCACTGTAAAATACACCTGACAATAAAGTCATTCAATCATTTCATTCAGGTTTATGCAGCTTTCTGTGGTAACAAATTCCACAAGATCACTGTGCATTGACTGCAGAAATTTCTCCACAACTCAGTCAAATGTGGCCTATTATCCTGAGTCCGCAGCCACTTGTTCTGGAACCCTGCCATGGGGAAACATCATCCCCATATCCAGTCTGTCCTGCCCTGTCAGAATTTTAATATGTTTCAATGGGGTCCCGTCTCGTTCTTCCAACCTCCAGTGAATGTAGATCCGATCTCTTATCGCCTTACTAACCTGCCATCTCAGAGATCCATCTGGTGAATGTTCGCCAGCATTTGTCTTCAATAATCTTTTGAATTTTTCATTCTTATAGAAGATCTTACACTGTGCTTTTATGTTGCTTAAAATAAATAACTGATCCAGATGTGTTATTTTTGCAACAATCGATAGTTACCATTAGGACCAGCTCTTTATTCCAGATTTTTTTTTAATTCAAATTTTGACCATCTACTATCATGATACTCAAACTGACAATGCTCAGAATATTGCTCTGGAGCAAACAAAACAGAAATTGCAGGGGAATCTCAGCGGGTCTGGCAGCATCTGCAGAGACAGAAACAGAGTCAACGTTTCAAGTCCTTGTCTCAAAACATTAACCCTGTTTCTCTCTCCACCATGCTGCCAGACCTGCTGAGTTTCTCCAACAGTTTTGGCTTTTATTTGTTTCAGATCTCTGGCATCCACTGTTTTTTTGTTTTATTATATTGTCTGTGGCGCTGGGTTGATAGTCTACTGACATTACCACTACGTAATCTTCCCTTATATGGCAATCATCCTGCATTTAATTTCACTGCTCAGTCTCAGAAACTTGGCCACAGCCTGAGTAATTGCTTCAAGGTCAGTTTCAATTGTTAAAAGGTGCTTTGCATTTACAAAGGCTAAATCTTTGAGCATTCAGTTCCGGCATCTGGGATTTTTGATTTTAATATTGCAACTGTAACCATTCAACTTGTGAAATAACTTTAAGGTTCTTTACTCTATTTCATCCTACAGTGCCTCATCAAAGACCCTAACACAGCAAACATACCTGTTTTAATCATTCCAACCTGCTTATTAGCCAATACTCATTCAGTTTGCAATGGTCTTTACCTGAACAAAAATTAAAACACAAGCTGCTGGAGAAACTCAGCAGGTCTGGCAGAATCTTCCAGCATCCACAGTATTTTGCTTTTATTTTCCTGCACCATGCTGTGATCAAAGATCTGAAAGTTGTACAAATGGCAATAAAGAGAGCTTTAAACTAAACACTGGGGACAATGGATCATATGAGGCTAGAAAAGGTGAATCAAAGGGAAAAGACAAAGCAAGAGAGTAAGGTCACAGTAAGGGTAACAATAATCCGAGAGTGGCTGGATAACACAAAGCAAAATGTGCACCAGCAGATAAGGGCAGATTTTGCAAAAGGATAGAACACACAGATTGATGCACAAAGCATTTATTACAAAATGGATGAAATATCAACTCCAATAGAAACACATGTCTATGGTATCTGTTATAGGGAAATGTTAGAAGCTATTATTAAAGACATTATAAGAGGGTCCTTGGATACGTTCAAGGTAAACAAGCAGAGCCAACATGGTTTTCTCAAAGGGAAATCATGTCTAACTCATTCACTGGAATTCTTTGAAGAGGTAACTTGTGTTGTGGATAGAGGGGAACCAGTCAATGTATTTGTATTTAGATTTCCAGAAGGCATTTGATAAGATGTCACATCAATGGCTATTGCAGAAAATAAAAGCCGTTGAGGGGTGACATATTGGAATAGATATAAGATTGGCTGGCTAACAGGAAGTAGAGAGTAAGAATAATTGGGTCTTTTTCAGGTTGGCAGAATGTCACAAGTGGTCTGCCACAGGGGTCATGCTGGGGTCATTTGGATGAAGGAATCGAAGGTATGGGAGCTACATTTGCTGAGAACGCAAAGATAGGTAGGTAAGTAAGTTGTGAGGAGGATATAAGGAGTCTACAAAGGGATTGCAATAGGTACAGTGAGTGAAAAAGATCTAGTAAATGGTGTATAATGTCAAAAAATGTGAAATTGTCCATTTTGCCAAAGAGAATAAAAAAGAAGCTGGTTATCCAGACAGTGAGAGATTGCAGAGCTCTGAGGTGCAGAGGGATCTGGGTATCCGAATACATGAATCACGGAAGGTGAGTCTGGAGATAGAGCAAGTAATTTGGAGAACTGATAGGATGTTATGTTTTATTGTGATGGGAGGTTATATTGCAGAAATACAGAGCATTGCAGTGCACAGTATTGGTCACTGTACTTACAGAAGATTGTTAATACATTGGAAGAAGTTTTGAGAAGGTTTATTAGACTAATACTGGGAGTGAGAGATTGCCTTATGAGGAAAGGCTAGACAGGTTCGGCCTGTATCCTCTGGAGTTTAGAAGAGTCAGAGGAGACGTAATTGAAACATAAGGTCCTGAGAGGACTTGACTGGGTGGATGTTGGAATGGATGTTGGAATGATGTTTCCTCTTGCAGGAGAATCTCGGACTGGGGTCACTGTTTAAAGATAAGGGGCATCCCATTTATGAGAAATGAGGAAACATTCCTTCTCTCAGAGGGTTGTGAGTCTTTGGAATTCCCTTCCTCAAAAGGCAGTGAATGTGGAATATTGAAATATTTTTCAGGCAGAGGGAGATAGATTCTTAACAACCAAGGGGATAAAAATTTACTGGGGATAAGCAGGAATGTAGAATTGAGGTTAAGATCAGGTCTGCCTTGGGGCAGACCGTTACTGGTTTGTATATTCACAATGACCCAAAAGCGATTGGAGACATGAAGCTAAAGCTTATGATTTGTTGATTAAATACAAATTTTGTTGAGCCTTTTGGAGGGATTTTCACTGCAAGGCCCAGCGAATTGTCTTACCGTATCTTACCAAACTCACATCATTAATGAGCTACCCAGCCCCGAAGGTGTTTCTCACATCCAATTACCACTCACCATCCATGGAGCATCTCGGCAAAGCTGGAATATCCTGAAATGGACCACCATCCCTTGTGCCAGCGCATTGCAAAATCTCACTATGTAACTGGACAAGTCCTGTCGGTTTGGAACCGCCCTACACAGTTCCTGACCTTTACCCCAGACATGTCAAACAAAGGGGATATCAGCACCCACTTTGTGGCCAGGAATCTGGAGGCCCTGCTGGACAGGGTGGTTCAGAGGAAGACTCTCTCTTACCCTAGGACCAGCAGGGGAGGCCGGATACCACACCCTGCCCAGCTTCATCGACTTTTAAGGAGAGTCTGCTGGACGTTTCACTTAATGGAGTCAGGCAGAATCAACATGGTTTTGTGAAAAGGAAGTTGGGTTTAATTAATTTATTAGAGTTCTTTGAGGAAAAAGCAAGGAATGTGGATAAAAAGAAAGCTGTAGGCATAGTGCAATTAGATTTCCAAAAGGCATTTGATAAGGTGCCATGAAAGGTACCAAACAAAAGAAGAGCTCATGGTTCAGGAGGTTACATGTTAGAATGTTTGAAGGATTGGCTAGCCAACAGCAAACAGAGAGTAGGGATAAATGGATCATTTTCAGGTTGGCAAATTGTGACTAGTGGAGTGCCACAGGGCTCAGTACTCCGTCCCAAACTAATGTAATTTATGTCAATATATTAGATGAAGGAACTGCATATATGGCAGCCGAATCAGCTGGTGACACAAACATAGGTTAAAAAAAAACAAGCTGTGAACAGGATGTGAGGAGTCTGCACAGGGATATAGATAGGTTAAGGGAGTGAGAGAAAAATTGTGAGTTGGCACATAATGTGGAAAAATGTGAACTTCTCAACTTTAACAAGAAGAATAAAAAGGCAGCAAATTATTTAACTGGAGAAAGATTGCCGAATTCTGAGGTACAAATGGATCTGGGTGACCTGAGGCATGAACTACAAAATTTCATAAAATCTCTACAGTGTGGAAACAGGCCCTTCGACCCAACAAGTCCACACCGACCCTCAGAGCATCCCACCCAGATTCATCCCCCTAAAACCCACCTAATCTACACATCCCTGAACACTACAGGCAATTTAGCATGGTCAATCCACCTCGCCTGCACATCTTTGGACTGTGGGAGGAAACCGGAGCACCCGGAGGAAACCCACGCAGACATGGGGAGAATGTGCAAACTCCACACAGACAGTCACCCAAGGGGGAATCGAACCCAGGTACCTGGCACAAAATGTTGAAATTCAGGTGCAGCAAGTGAATAGGACGGTAAAGTACAAAGTATTGTGATTTAGAGTGCCTTAAATTTAAAAATCACGCATGACAATGGAACTAATGAAATAAAAATAGCAGCAGTTTGTTAATAACTGTCCATGGCTCTGGAGTGTGAATGTATCATTTCAGATCAATGCTGTGTGACACATTTCTTCACGTTCTCCTGTGCCTTCTGATTAGAAAACCATCAAAATCAAAAACCCTATCAGAATTTATTCAGTGAGATTAATGTGCCAAATAGAGGAGAAAAAGATTTACATTTCCAATACTCCTTTTACAATCAATGTGTACATTGCAATGTAGGAAACATGGCAGTCAGCACAAAATGCTGGAAATCACAGCAGGTCAGAGAGCATCGACGGAGAGACAGCAAGCTAAGGTTTTGAGTCGAGATGTCTCTTCATCAGAGCTGATGCATAGGCATCTAGACTCAAAAAGTTAGCCTGCTCTGTCTCCATGGATGTTCTCTGACCTGCTGTGATTTCCAGCATTTTGTGTTTTCAGTACAGATTCCAACATCTGCAATGACTTGTTCCTAAACATGGTAGTCAACTTGTGCATAGCAATTGCAATGAGTTTTCTGATGTTGATTGAGGGATAAGGATTAGACCCAGAGAATGGGAGAACTCTTCTCTGCTCTTTTGGCTTTAGTGCTGTGAGAATGTTGCATTGCCGCTTTTTAGATGACTTGTTGAACCACGACCCCTTAGGAGCTCTTAATACAAATCCCCCGTCACTATTCAAAGAAACGTAGTGGAAGTTTCTCTAGTAAATTGAACATCATTTATCGCCCAGTTTACACCACATTAAGCAACTGATGACAGACCATTTACCTCATTGCTATTCTATGAGGAGCTCAGTGTGTACAAATTGTCTTCCGTTCACAACAAAACAGAAACTACAGTTCAAAATCAAAAGGTGCAAAGGAACAATATGAGGACACAAAAGGTTTTATTTGGCTACAAATTCTGTGTAGATGTTTCCATGCAAATTCAACAACATGCAATTGTCTAAATCACAACAGAAGACAGATCCCACATGTTAAATGGAAATGATTGAAGAAATTGTAAACATTATGGAGGGGACCACATGCTTATCTACTCCTGCTTTCCAGCTATTTAAGTAAATCTCAAATATTCTAAATGTCTTGAAAGAACAAAACCCTTCTTTACAACCAAATAAATAATGCTACCCTTGAAAACTAGAAATTTTCTTGATTAAAAAAAAACAATCAGATCATTATCTAAATTAAATAATTCAAATTTAAACCAATCTTCAGCTCACAGCATTGCCCAAACCCATTCCTACACAATCTTGTGACTCATTTTCCAACAGGACAATGATGAGGAACATGGTACCTCTGTTTTCCTCTTCATGAGACCATGAGCCCAAGACCTGTTGCCCCTTCTCATTGTCCCAGTTAATCTCCCATGATAGAGCACAGAATAGAGATTATCACAGATTGTCCTCGATCCTAAGGAAGTATAAAGGTGAGTCAACAATTGGTTAAGTGGGAGTACAAACAGTAACATAATTGATACAATCTTCAGCCTTAGTCCATTGTTTACCCTCTTGGAAATACCAACCACCAACCATGATCAGTTTCCTTGAAAAATTGTAAAATTATTTGTGGCAACAGGTAAAAGATGTGGTCCTTGTTACAATTACATCATGATAGCACAATTACACTTGCATTTGCTAACTCAATAACTCATTGGATCTGGAAGTAGTTGAATATCAGAACACCAAGGTGGCGAAAGTGGCATGGAATTTGTTGGCAAACTGTTAAATGCCTTTTGCATGTTACAACTCAATTTCCAAAGATTTTTTTCATATGATGCCTTTACCATGGAAGCAGTGATCAACGTCTGAAACCTGAGCTCTACTTTCCCTCTTCATTTCATGACTGTTGGAGAATCTGACAAATAAGATTAATTGGTCTAAAAAAGCATAACTAATTTGAACATGAATTGCGCACTAATAGCTGGACACGAAACAGAGTTCACATCTTTTTTTTTTAATGTTGTACAATTATATTTATTCGGGTCACATTACATTTGACACTTGGAAGGGGAACATTCTGAAACACAGAATTACAATTGCTTTCCAGTCAGCATCAAAATTCCCGCAATTATAAGAAAAACCTGAAAACCAGTTTTAAAAGCACACTTTGCCTTACTGTCTGAAGGTGTAATCTCCACAATATTTCACCTTATGTCTTAAAGATTCTTGTTAAAAGTAATAAATTACTATAAACACATTCCAGGCATATCCCGATAAATACTGTTAAGAGACTGATGTTAGTGGGAGACGTGGTGTCATTGGCAGTAATGCCATGATTACCGTGACCACCAGAGTGCATTGGCACCAATTTAGGGCCATGCGATGTTGACAAATTTAGGTTAAATTCCAAGCTCTGTGCCATTCTCATGGTGGATTCAGGGGATTTCTGTTGTGCTGCATTCAACAACACACTAGTGCTAGTTGCATTTCAATTCATCTGCTATCTCCACACTTTCCATCATTATTTCTCCAGACTCACGTGTGCATTTTCATAATGATACTAATATTTTGCAATTACAATAATATCATTATTTATCGTACGTTGCACTATGATACGTAATTCTGAGCAGCAATCAGCTCTGTCTGAATGGGAAGAGTCCGTGGACTGCACAAATCCAAAGATTTGAGGTAAACACTTCAGTGTAATCTTATTTCACTTTTTTTCATTCATTCACAGGATGAGGGCATCACTGGATGACCCAGCATTTATTGCCCAACCCTAATTGCCCACAGGGAAGTTAAGAGCCAACCATATTACTATGGGTCTGGAGTCACATGTAGACCAGAGAAAGATGGTCCTTCATTCCCTAAAGGACATTAGTCAACCAGTTTTTACCATTAACAGTGTTGCATGGCCACAGTTAGTCTAGCTTTTTATTCCAGCTTTTTGTTTAATTCAGATGTCACCATCAGCCATGCTGGGATTCGAACCCATGTTCCATGAACATTAATCTAGGGTTTGGGATTACCAGTCCATTCACATTACTACTCTGTCAACTTTTCTGCCCCTGTCCTTCTAGATGGAAGTGATTGTGAGTTTGGAAGGTGCTGTACAAGGAGCCTTAGTGAATTTCCACAGTGCATCTTGTAGATAGTACACACTGCTGCTACAGAGCATCAGAAGTGGAGGGAGGATGCTTGTGAATGTGGTACCAATCAAGCAGGGGCTGCTTTGTCCTGGATGGTGTTGAGTTTCTTGAGTGTTGTTGGAGCTGCCCCCATCCAGGCAAGTGGGGATTATTCCATCACACTCCTGACTATCCAAACATATGATGTGGAGGTGCCGGTGTTGGACTGAGGTGGACAAAATCAAAAAACACATGACACCAGGTTATAGTCCAACAGGTTTATTTGAAATCACAAGCTTTTGAAGCGCTACAATCTGAAAGCTTGTGATTTCAAATAAACCTCTTGGACTGTGACCCAAAGATAGGCAGGATAATGGATTGTGAAGAGCACATAAGGAGCCTACAAACGGATATAAATAGATTAAGAGAGCCGAAGAGAGTAAGCAAAGATTTGGCAAACAGAATAAAATATAGAAAAGTGTGAAATTGCCCATTTTGACAGAAAGAATGAAAAAGAAGCATATTATGCCTTGTTGATAATGGACAGACTTTAGGGAGTAAGGAGATGAGTTGCTCATAACAGGATTCCTAGCCTGTGACTTGCTGTTGTAGCCACTGTGTTTATATAGCTGGTCCACTCTTGAAAATGTATCACCATTCTTTCAATGTCACTGGGTAAATCCTGGAACTCCCATCCTAGTAGCATTATGCGTAGTCCTACGCCCAAAGGACTGCAGTGGTTCAAGAAAGCAATTGTATCAACTTCTCAAGGGAAATGAGGGGAGGGCAATAAACGTTGACTTCACCAATGCTATCCACAATTTGCAGAGCATATGCTCACAATCACAGTATTGTTCGTGGGATCTTGCTTTGCATACGT